AAAGTTCCACAGGAACTTAAGGAAAAATTATTGATGGTGAGGATTGACAGAGCACTGGAACAGGCTGCCCATGGAGGTTGTGGAGTCTCCTTCTCTTGGATGCAGTCCTGTGCCACGTGCTCTAGGTGACCCTGCGTGTGCAGGGCGGTTGGACCAGATGACCTCTAGGGGTCCCTTCCAAGCTTAAGCATTCTGTGATTCTGTTTCTATAATGACATCCAGTCATTACTGGACACTCATCTCACTGACCTGATACCTCTTAAAAAAAATTACTATTAATTCTAATTCTTTAAGAAGCTTCCTCATCCCCATGTATAGGCAAAACCTACTTTATAATGAATTTTGCATTTGATGTGTTTACAATGCATCTCTGCTTTCCTTTGGTGGGCCAAACTGCTGCTTATTAAAGGCTTGCTTTACTTAAATGTAGCCTTCAGCTTGTTTTGTTTGCCCCTTTACAATCTTTTTTTTTTCTGGATATACATTTATTCAGAGCATCTCGTTGCTTTATAGCCGTTTGCAAGATAGCTGCAAGAATATTACCTTTTTTGGCAGCAAGTTTTTTTAGTTTTCGGAAAACTAGAATTACCTTTTCATGTGCTTGCCCCAACAAAGGGATGTTTACAGTGGCTACGCAGGTAGTGTCGGGATGCAGTGTACACGGAGACAAGGGAAGGTTTCCATTGGCATTTGGCTCTGTGCCTTTGCTGTTCCTTAGGACTCTCCTATGAAATGCTAAAGAAACCAATGGACTAAGCAGGTAGACAGGGACTAGTGATACATCTTGCTTTTCTGCAAGGCCTGTGATCCTAAGAGGACTTTCTATTTCTTAGTGGTACAGTTAAATTAGTCTAAGGGTTTGCGTTTTTTCCTTTTTTTAAGCACACACAGTAACCTCTCCTCCAGCATAGCCTACTGTCACTTCTCTGTAACTGCACCTGCAATTACTTTTTTTTTTAAATATATGCTTACATGTGCCTGTATAAAAATGTACACATGATTTTATCTTGGTTTAAATCATTTCTATAGTTGCCTGCTTCATTATCTGTTTAAACAGGATTCCCACTGGTTGAGACTATCCCTGACTCTACACTGTTGAACATACTATTCTGTTATGAGATATGAGGATAAAGAGTTTTATTACTTCATGTGTTGTAGGATACAGCATCCTAAAACAAATGCTTTTGCACCAAGATCAGAGTGCCAGGGTTAGGCTGGGGGACTACAGAAAAACCGTGCTGCCAGGCATACTTGCCGAAGCAAGGTAGAAAAAGGGGGGGAAAAAGTAAAACTGGTATGGAAAAGTTTCCTGCAAACCACTATACATTCAAAAGTATATTACATTATACCCTCACAGTTATTTTGCAATAATAAAAGTTCTTAAAAATGGTGGGGCTTTTCATTTAGTAGTTACTTCTCACATGGCCCAGAAAGCAGAGAGGGGACAGGCTGTGAAGAGCTTCCAGCTCCAAGGAAGTTGTGCCTTACCTGGGATTATGTCTTTCAGCTGTCTCCTAAGGATCTCTGGCGTGTGCCAAAGCGTTGCCTGCTCCGTGAGGCTGTGTTGCTCTTCCTATCCAAATGCCAGTAGGAAACCTAGGGTCCCACAAACTCATTAAAATAGCCTCTAGAGAAGGCCTTGGAAGCAAGTGGACAGCAGTGCCGGGCACCTAGCACAACTCCGAGGGGAGTAGTTATCCAAATTTGTAAGTAACAGTGCTTATTTCCATTTCAGTGAAGGACACATAGTAAATGAATACAAATAGATCCATGGAAAAGGAAATGGAAATAGAAAAAAGAAAAAGAAGAAATTCTGACTTAAATGCTGAGGAAGATGTGATGCTATATATTTAACATCAGAAGTTTAAGACTCTTCGGCTAAATTATCTTTATACCTCCGAACTATTAACAGTCGATACCTTTCATATTCAAGACATTTTTATTACAAGTAGGTATAACAATTATTGGCAAAAGAGGGAGGCTATATATACATATATAAAATCCAGTGCAAAAGGGAAGCACCCTACAGAACCTGCATTTCTGTTCCCATTAACAGGCAACATTTAGATGTTGGATGAGCAACTGTCATCTTGGACTTCAAGCAGTTCCTCACCGACACAAAGTTTAGACAGGAATTGCTAGAATTTTAGCTGTCCACTTCAAAAGAAAAAAAAAATGAAAGACTTGCTGACAGGTGCAAAAATTAATACAAAATGTATTAATAAAAATATGAAACAAACATACATTAAATAGTTTTGCTTCCTGGTACATACTTCAGATTTTCAAAAGAATTTTATAAAATTTACATTCTTAATGAAATGATTTATTGTTGTAGAAAACACATTTTTAATTTCAAGTTTATATTATATTAACTATAAATATCTAAGGACAGAAAAAATATCCCTCCAGCTGGCGTGCTGTATTTCTCAATCGTTTATGTCTTCTGCTCTTTGCCTTTTGGGGAAAACATTACAGCATAGGGCTGACGTCTCTTTGGACGCTGACAGGGAGCAAGATCCTCTTTAATGTATCCTAAAAGAATAAGGCAGACTTGAGGTAAGAAATACAACACGGAAATGCATGCAACTTCTGTTTCTTATTTATTTTAGACCCTCAGGTGGACCTCTGTCCACCTGAAAAAGGCCAAACAGTAACCTATGGATCAAACACAACTTGAACTGCCCTCTGATGAGAAATCTGCGTAGACAATTTCCACAGCCTGCCCAACCTAGCTCACACTGACAGTAAGCAGAAATTTCACGCAAATCAGTTAGAGCATCTGGTTTTTGTCAAACCCTTACTGTTTATCAGCACTAACATCTGCTGAAGTAAGAAGAGTAGAGTTGTACCTCATCATTGGAAGAGTTTCTGTTCAATTCTCAGTTGTTCAAAACACAGGGTACCGTTAAGAGACAGAAAATACATCCCCTGCATCCTACTTCTACCGAGCGACAACTGCAATTGCTTGCCATGCTGTATCTTCCCTTTCCATTTTCTGATTTTTTATTGCATTCTTGTGCAACACGGCCACTGCCATAGAAGGAGAGATCTAAAATCTGCCTCTGATACCCTGCTGAGAACCACAAAGAACCAAACAGCTGCTGCTTTAGCAGAACAAGGAGGCAGCTACAAAGCTGGTTTCAACAAGGGCTGGTAACAGTCTCCCCTCACAGGTTACCTTATCCCTTGAAGTTATTATCAGACTAACCAAGCCCAAGGGCACTTACCAGCCTGTAACTGGGGGAAACCCTTGCAGTAGATAATTAAGGAGGGGCAACGAAACTAGAGCTTCAACAGGAAATCTGACCCCCACAAAGCGAAAGGCTTCTATTCTGAACCCCATGTTCATATTATTTGGAACCATGGGTTCAAATTCAAATGAGGTTGGCTCAGTATGTCTCTAAAATTCAATCTGCAACTCATACTGTAAGTCATATTATAAGTCTATCTGTAAGAAACAAATCAACCAACCACTACTCATATTGAGGTCAAAAAAACTACCAAAAAAAACCTACTAAAACTGTTCTCTATCCTGAAAGATTTTTTAAGGATGATACTGTAGCAGTACTACACAACATCACACACATGACCCTGGCCTTTCTTATGTCTGACCTGAATAGAGGAAAAAAAGGCAGAGATGAACGTTTTATAACTAACAGCAAGTGCATTAATATGTAAGTAATTCTGAGTTCATCTAGGACTCCTTACATCCCAATTTCACTTATTCTAAAGAAATATCCAGTATAGTATAAACTTAGTAGATTTTAGAGTCATTAGTAAAAACTAAGTTCTATTCCAAGTTCCAGAGGCTTTAGAAAAGTTATTTATGGATAGAAATATCTTCTCTGTGAACAGGAGTCAAAAAACAAACCCCCAAAATAACCAGCTTCTGAGTTTCACTAACAGGCAGGGGATATGTATTAGAACTACTTAATCACACCCTATTCTCAGTCTTTCCATTATTATATGATTATGGGGAGCTCTAAAGATCCAGGCAAAGACTAACAGTGCTACCTGCCTGTCTTCAGCAAGCACTACCTTTGCCTCTTAAAATGTCAGCCTAGCTCTTGCTTTGGTTCAAAGACAAGTAAATTAAATTCTCTGAAAACCTCTATTATTTCCACCTTCTCTATCTAGGCTCATGAGAAAAGCCTCCTTATAGTCTCTCCTGCTTTGTATCCTTGGTGCTGCTGGAAAAGGCAGTATTTGTTCTGAGTAATAATTGCCAGTGGATAAATGGAGCTCAACAGACCTGTGTGAGAAAGGCTGCTTTACGAAAAACATATAATTTCAGGAGTCCATTTTAGAAAGAATCAGCTGCAAGAAAAGTGCTTTATAACTCATTTTATACACAAACCTCTTTCCACACAAGTTTGAGTGGAAGGAAATCCAACCTCCCAGAAATTTTCAGGTGTACTTGGAGGAATGTAGCGAAATCTGTGCCTTGAACACGAAGCTAGTTTCTTTTCTCTCTCTTCTGCTGGAATGTCTGCATAATACTATATGTTAGAAAATAAAAATGCCGAGTTAACAAATTTATAGATCACAAGTAACTGCATTACATGCTGAAACTATCCATCACTGTTTATGAACTGTTATCCAAATATGCTGGTGAGACTAGCCAAGAGCAAAGATATGTTATCTGGCCATTAGCCAAAAAGTTTACTGAATTGACAGATAGCACAGGGGTCAAAATAAAAGAGAATTTTCGAGTGAGTCAAAACTTTAGTATTTGCAAATAAAAGAGAAAAAATGAAAACCCAAAAATCTATGCTAAAAAATCTCAGGGTCTAAATTTACAGTATTTACAGCAGACAAGTCAAAAAGCTTCCTGGTTCACTACCCTCAAATTTGGAGTGTGAAAAGAGCTGGTGAAACATATGCTAACTGACACTGGGATTCCAGGAACTATCTGCCAGCTGGGGATTCTCCAGGGTATGTAGCAAGTTGGCTACCCACTCTCTTATCTGTCAGCTGTGCTGGGGGCTGTGCTGAGAATAGTGTATGCTCTGCAGGCTTCTTTGCAGAGAGATCCCCATGCGTAGCATCACAAAACCACATTTGTTTAGTGCAGCTTTCTAGTGTTTTCAACTGTGATTCAACTTAGCATCTCCCCAAAATAGCAATTTGGAATCTAGATATTATACAGTAGTGAAGTATTTTCAAAGCTGAATGCACTACGTGATTCAAGTGGCAAACCCAGTCCCTTCCCAGGCAGGACTGCACAAGCAACCTCGTAATAAAATGGTGCTACCACAGTAGGACAGTACTGTGAGCCAGAGGGGCAAACTAGTTTCAAACCTCATTCAGTTGGCTAGAAAATGATCTGGATTGGGGATTAGGAGAGGAGCAGAGCATTTGTGTCAATGGAGTTTGCTACCTATCTCCATCTACCAGAGAAAGGATCTCAGAATCCTTACTCGGAATATTAAAGCGCACCAATAGATTCCCTTTTTTTTCTTAATAGGTGGCAAGTGAATTATAAAACAGGTATAAAAATACTGTTCCCCAAGAGCATGATATATATGTATACAGATGGACAGACATGTACACGCATGCACTGATGATGAGAGAGTAGTCACAACCAGGGCTGCGGGAGACAAAGCTGCACGAAACAGGAAAAGAGGCAAAAGGGGTTTTTTTAATTTTAATGTCTCTGTAAACTACAGGAAGGGGAGCTCTGCCTGAAACTGAGGTATATTTTCTTCTCCTGAAGAGCTGTACAAATATCTTGTCTCATTCAAAACTTTAACACCAGAGCATATTTTCCTTTCATTTTACAGGAATTTTATTGCATGTGTGTTTCCTGGTCTAAAGCATAGATTCCGTTTGTTAGCAGGTTGTATGCAACATAGGAGATTACTGGTCTGTCTTCTACATAGTCCTGCTACCCAGGGTAGAATGAACTGCCAGTTCCACAGAAAACAGTCAGAAATGGTTATAAGGCCCTAGTAAAAGGTTCTACAAAACATTTGTGCACTGAGCCAAATACAGCCCCAATAGTAGAACTGCTGCCAGTTAGTGAATGTGGATAAATTCACTTTGAAAGCATTTGCCACTGTCTTATGCAATGCTCCCTCAGAAAGGAAAAAGTCTCTGCAAATACACTGCTTGCAAAACCTTGCCAGAAACAATTCATTCATTTCTATCCACTCCCTAAATATTTCCTCAGACTTTGGAGACTTTTCCAAGCCATATGGCTAATAGGTAAGCCAAGATGTTTTAAGCATCCTTTCTGCTTTGCCTAATACTCCCCCTTTCCATAAGCATTTCCTTCAGAGCTATTCTTGTGGTGGTGCAATGATAGAGCCAAGTATTCCATACATTCCTAGGCATCTGTCTTGAAGGGACTATCATTTATAAAGCCTAATGCAGAAATCTGTGTTGCAATATTCCGTATTACATATGCAATAATCTCACTATTTTATATCTGTACAATGTGTCTGTACAATGTGTCTAATGTGTTCAAAAACAGAGGCTATAAATGTTTCCATATGCCATAGTTACCACTTGAATTAACTTGCCAGAAAGTGACAAGAACTAGATTTGCTGAGAGAAGATCCATGGCTTGCAGAGACAGGAAATTAAAATAGTTAAGACACAGTGCTTGGCCCAAGAAATAGACTGAAGTATTTTTTTTCATCCTGTTTTCTTTCAAAGTCCCTAAATTAAACGTATTTTTGAAAATGGAATTTATAGTTGACTGTAAAACTTGATAAAACTCATTAAATGCAAAATATTAAGCCAATTTTTCAGGAACATGTTTTTGTTCAAAATACATTCCAATGAATATTTTCAGCTAACCAAATGTGACAACTATAAAATGAATAGCAGAAGAATTTAAGAAAAATGTTGGTTCTAAATAGGTATGGAAACCAAATGAAAAGTCTCCAGAGAGAATCTGTTCTTCAGTCCACACTTCTGGAATGTCATAATGTATTAGATCATAGCCTAATTAACTCCAGGCTGAAAGCCTATTAATGACCAAGTTGAACATTCTTGTTACATATGTAATAATCTCACTATTTTTTATCTGTACAAAGTATCTGAAAGCAGTTTAGTAATTTGAAAGAGAGGAAGGACTTGCTAGAGTAATAAAAGGGAAACTTGTAATGCAAAACCTAAAATCTCATACTTTTAAGCATTTTGCAAATATTTTTGTATGCATTTGCATATATATACACATTGGCACCTATGCTGGGGTAGCCATCTGAAAATACAAACGCTCCAGAACACAAAAACAAAACCAAACCAAGACAGAGGAACAACACTTATGCTAGTTACGAGGGCTGGAGAGGACAAAAAGCAGTCCTAATCCAGCAGCTTTAAATTTTAGTAAAGCTTTTGAGCAAACGTGTATATATAGATGTATATATACATTTTATATTTAATATATATTTTTAGATATATATATACTTATATACATGTATATTTAATAATGAAATAAAGAAAATCTTATTCAATCCATGATGTACTAAGTTTCTATCTTCAAAGCGATGTAAGAAAAAAAATGAAGACATTAACTTATTTGCAGTTACTACAGGTAAAAACAAATAACTTATTTACTTCTTTGCCATTGTATGCCACTGTATGATGATGCAACTATATTCCTAATTTCAACAGCATTTTAAAGATAAAATGCAAGACTGACTAAAATTTAGGGCACTACTTACTACTTCACATTCTTTACAGGTATGACCCAGCAACTTTCGTCTTTCTTCCTTTTTTCGAATTACCTCAATATGAGGAAAATCTAACACAGTATTCTTTCTGAAAAACAAAAATGTTTTCACATGATGTATCTCCTTTACAAGTCTGGAAGATTTCTTTTATCAAAACACAATGAAGCACAGTCTTAAGAGGAAAAAATAAAACAAAACAAAACAAAACAAAATAAAATAAAATAAAATAAAATAAAATAAAATAAAATAAAATAAAATAAAATAAAATAAAAAATAAAATAAAATAAAATAAAATAAAATAAAATAAAATAAAATAAAATAAAATAAAATAAAATAACAAAATGCTGCAATATACAACCACTCTCCATTTCACCTCTGAAAAAGACTGTTTTTATAACCAAAACTGTTTGAGGATTTTTTAATGTAATATGACCATTTTCTAGAAATGTGTGTCTGTCTCAGATTTTGATGGCTTTTCATAGGTCTAAAATAATTACTACATATAATTTCCTTAAAAAATATACTTTTTTAACATATAAAAAGGTAAGGCCTGTAACAGAAGTTCTTGCAATGATTTCTGAAAGAGGAAAGCATGTTGGGGGTCTAACAGATTGTTTTCAACTTTGTGTTTTCTTTTTCAAATGTGTATTAGGTTCCTACCTTCTGCCTTCTACATCTACAATGTAAAAAAAAAAATTCTTTTGCATCTTTCCTTCTCTATAGAGAGAGCACAAGCTGAAGTAAAAAAAAAAAAAAAAAAAAAGAGCCAGTAGGTAATTGAAGGTTTAATATTATTACGAAATGAAGATTCAGATTACTAATAATGACTGTACAGAAAGGTAACAGATGCAGCATTAAGAGGTACAGTTATGAAATATTCCTGATTTATTGCCTGGAATGGGAAAAAAAGTCAGAGGTAAAGAAATGCTTTTTGGACAAATATCTTTGATCATAAACGCCTGCATGACCACATAACTCTAAGCAACAGCTTGGATTATGAAATACTGTGATCAATAACATTACAAAAAGCAAGAGTAGCAGTCTCTCTTTTTTAGTGAATGTGATGGACGTAGTTCTCCAACTGCTTATAGGGTGTTCTCCTACCTGAGCTTTTATCTAACGAACTGGGTTTTCTTACTGAACACCTACAGCTACTAATAAGCTGTGTACAAATAATCTTATTTTATGGAAAAAAAACAATCTCTATGGGGAGGAAAAAAGTCTTAAAATGCCTATATTAATAAACAAACTGTATTACCTTTCATCACTTTTGAAGTAGGGCTCCACAAAAGCTTTCTGTTTGGTCTTATCTTGTTTATCTTCATATTCTGGAAATATATATGGAGGGGAAAAATAAACAAAAATAAAAACCAGTCACATAAGGCTAACAAGCTGCCTAGAGATGTGTCTATAAAATGATTAGTCAGTTATTAAGAAATACAAAGATGGCATGTGCAGTCTGCTCTGAGGAAGAGATACTAAAAATAATAGAGAATTGGATGAACCAGAAACTAAAAAGTGTAACTGGAGAAGCAGGAATACAGTAATAAGACAAGTAAAGAAAAAAGATCATCATAATAGCAAAGAAAAGTTTGCCTAAATTTCAAAACATTAAGAAATCAAAGAAGAGAGGAAGTAAACAATGCATAGTCATAAATCACAGCCAAAAAGTGGTATTTCCTTTCAGAGTCATCCTGCTCTACAGCCCCTGACTTAACATCCATCACAGCTTCCATATTTGTGTGGTGGCTACATCAATGAATTCCTAAAGTGGCTTATGTGTTTGCAATGAATGAATTGCCCCATGAACTGAAAAATGAGCTCATGGTTTGTTTGACAGACTTGATCCAAGAAAAAAGATCTGATTTCAAATCAACTCTTGCAGTCTAATAAAGATAAAAAAAAATCCCACTTTTTAGATTCTTGTTTGCTGCTGCTATTTCTTTATCCTGATCATCATCATGAAGAGTTTCTTTTTCATCACATGCAGACAGATCATCTTCTGCTAGGCAGGATTCATATTCTTCGTGACTTGTTCGATCAAACATTTCTGCTAAGGTATCATTCATTTTTTTTTCTCCTCCTATTAAAAAAATAAAAATAAATCCATAATAAATATCCAAATCAGTCTCCCAACAATTTAAGTCAAGAAAATAATGCTTATATATATTTTGATTGAATGCTTATCAAAAGAACAAATACCTACTTCCCTCTCCAGCACGAGTTAATACTGTTGACACACTTATTCTTTCTGTTCTTTTCTCAATCTTCTAAATGTGGGTAATGCATGCTTATTTTTCATAAAGATACCTCAATTTCATTGGGAAACACTGATTAACTGCTGAATCACTCTGATTGTCTTTAACCTTAATAGTCACGGACAATATTTTCTTGTTATTGTAACTATGGCGATATCCAAGCACAAGGAAATACCTTGTGTGGGGAGGAGATAACCTAACGTGATCAAGTTGCAACTTCAAACACACGCAAGGACACAGACGCACAGCCTTAGAAGTCAGTGCCCTGCAGCCACAGATCACCATACATTAAATGTGATGTAAACACGTTTGGATTTATTTTAAATGCAACAGTTCTATTTATGCCTCATTAAAAACGAAATTAGTCTTTCCACGGAAAGTTTCATACAATTACAAAGCAAGTTTCCAAATTTGACTTGCGCGTATATTTGTTGCAGAGAAGTAAAATATGATAAATATTTAACAACTTCAGCGGTGTTAAAAGGAAAGGCACTGCCTCAGCAAGTCCTATCAGTCTATCTTATGTTGAAAAGGCCACTGATTCTATTAGGAAACAGACTGGTGATCACTGTAATCTCCAAAACTCACCAGTGCTATATAATGCAAACCATGTTCTACCCTATATACACACAGAAGAAAAATAACATACATTATTCTTTCCTCTTCCAAAAGAAGTCCTACCTGGACTACTTTCCCGGTTTTGCTCTTGGTTTTTCCTTTTTAATAGCACGCTTTCACTAACAAATGTATAATCCATATCAACACCTTCCCCAGCAGTCCTTGAGTGAGAACCATCCTGAATAAACAAAGCAAACAGACAATAATTGCACTCAGCTATAATTATGTACTCAGCACCACGTTTCATATTCTTTAATGACAATTACTGCAGCTTCTTAGACACCTTCTCCAATATTATTTTCTGCAGTAATATTTGCATAATAAAGATGCAGAAACCAGGTAATAGAATAACTCAAAGCACCAATTAAGCACAGCAGAATTTAGAAGTCATTCCCAAGTTATTATGTTTTAGGATATCCCATAAGCAAAACAAAACAAATACTGCTATGGAGAATTGTCAGTAACCCTGTTCTAACAGCTAAGCTGCATACAAATCAAAGGAGAACAGTCAAGATTTACACATCTTCCTCTGCTTAGCATACAGAGATATCACAGGGAACAATTTTCATGGGAAAAGAAATACGAGATTTGAAACATTTGTCTAAAAAATCATTTTCTTATTTAGTACCTGCTGCAAAGCTTATCAAATACAAGAAGAAAGTTGGAACTTTTTAGGATAACTTACAACAAATACTTGAAAAATGAAACCATATGTCAAGTGAGCTGAATTCAGATTTTTGTTAGAAAGTGGCAGTTTAGGCTATAAAGAATAAAGTTTGTAATACTATTTTTTTCAGTACTGTGGAACACATGGACAAGTTACAGAAAAAGTGGCTTACCTTTGTATCAATCACAGTAATGTCCATTTTGTACTGGGAAAGGTCAGCTCCTGGATCTATGCTCCACTGAAAGTTTTCTAATGAAGATTTATCTTTAAGATCTGGGTGCAGAGAATATGATAAAAAGACAATCCAAAAAAAATAGTATCTATCAGCAGCATGCATAGCATCTAAATTGTAAGTTGTTTTTTTTTCTTTTTTTTTTTAATTAAATCGATTCCTCTTTGGTTTTAAGGACTGATTATTCTTAAATGATAAGCATACTAACTGGTATAAATCATTTTTTATTTAAAGATTCAAAAGCGATGAGTAATAATTTGAATTATTGAGTTATAATTTGTCAGATTTGGGAAGCGCATTGCTCCTATGTGTTTGTATGAGGTAAGCACATAAGTATTCTTACAGTAAAAATGCCTGCACTATGTAAATGAACTAATAATAAAATTGTATAGGAGATCAATAAGAATACAAAAACTGAAGTAATAAAGACACTCCGGATCATTGTTCTAGAGATGACTCTGGAGTCTTTTGTCAAGTAGATGTTTAGCTTCCTAGCTACATGAATGGCTGAGACTTTTAATTCACAAGTATTTCTAAATAAAGGACGCAGTGTAATGGCTTAGCTGAGGAGTACACAGGCAGTAATTCTGCAGTCCCAGCTGGGAAAATTAAATTGTTAGTAATGGCACCACTTATGGTAAAGAAGATACAACATCTGTTAAGGGTAATATTTGGCAGAACCTGCAATTACTAGTAGGAGCAGAAATTCTTTATAAGATGATCCAGAATCATAACTAACATTAACGACCGAGCTTATCCTTACACTTGAATACAGTTCTCATGCATTTGGTGTGGACGGCAAAATTCAGAATTCCTAAGACTGTTTCATCATCTCTTATTCATATTTTGCAGTAAGCCACTGTATACTAGTAATAATAATGCTAAATAAAACTAAGAAGAAGTTTCAACTAACCTGTTGAGTTTAAAGCTGAAAGCCAATGATATATTTATTGTAGAGAAAAAAAAAGAATACCAGGAAAATATTACTAAACAAAAACTTATTGAAATATAGTAAGTTCTGATACAGATTGAAAAGCTAGAGGTGATTTTGAAAAGTCCTGAATAACATGGCATAGGCTGGCAAGGAGGACGGAAAGAGGAGCATTTTCATGAAGTTACCTTGTTCATTTTGCAGTGCTTTACTTTTTGGTAGTCTACAAGGGTTTGGTTGAAGTACAGATGCTGGTTCAGACTCTCCATACCCTGTCCTTGTTTTCTTTCTATTTGGTACATGGCCACTGGCAACCTAACAACATATTTAAATTTTACCATTTCCAAGCACTTAAAGTAATATTCCAAAGAGGAGGAAAAAAAAAAGAAAAAAAACAGAAAGACATACCTTCATGTCATCAAAAAGAGATTCTGTCTCTACTGTGTTCAGTAGTGGTACAATTTTGAAGGCAGGGATATCATCTTTCACTTGGATCTGTTTCCTGTTGTCTGGGAATGTTTTTCCCAGCACTGCCTCTTGTACATAAGGTTCCTCTTGTAAATCCCTGCCGAACAGGCAACTCTCGCTAGTGGCACCATTCTGAATGGATGGTGAACCCTCTGCAACGGGCTTCCCTAGCTGTGAAAACACGTCATGCAGAGTCACCTGCTTCAGTCTTTTACAGGCTTCCTCACTTCCTTGTTTTTTCTCTTGGCAACGACCTCCAGAGAAGCGATCAGACAGATCCAGGGGTTTGTCAACAGTATGTTCTCCATTAACAAGCTCAATATCTGCTCGGAAATGCACAGAGTTCTCTTTGTTGAAGGATGTTTTTTCACAACTAATGGCATGCTCATCTTCAGCTTTCTTTCTCTTAGCACACCTGCCTTCTAGTTGCTTATGGTGTATGAGAAAAATATCATTCTTGATAGCCTCATTTTTATCTGTACAAGTGTTTCCAACACAAATTCCAGCCTCGTTAGTGTTCTTCTTCACAACCATCTGCCTATTGATAGAAGCCTGGCTGATAACTGAGTTTATTTCAGTTCCAAGATTAAGTGGTGCAACAAAAGCAACATCTTCAGATTTTGATCTACTTTTATGAGATCTGGAACTGGAAGGATTGTTGAAGGGGTTGGTTTTAGGATTAGGCTTCAATACTGAATCTAAAATACAAGGGGCATGACTTGTGCTTGAGTTGTTCTTCACATTGCTAGAAGCTCCAAAAACAGGAGAAGCTACCTGAGAATCCCAGTCAACGTGTGGTGGAGTGTTCTGAGATGGCTCTGAAAGACTGAATACAGCAAGAGATTAAATATTTTTAAACACAGAGAGCTGGAGGGAGAAGAAGAAAGGATATGCAAAAGGCATCAGTTTCCTTAGAGCGATACATGCCAAAGCTGTCAGAACTGCTTGCAGTAACTGAAAACTGAAGTAAAAAGAAAAGGAAAACTTCTGGTCTAGGAGTATTGTTGCAAGAACTCTTAAAAGGTAAGCGAAACCACACCCGGTCTTTTACTTCAGTGTGGAGTCAAATTCTATTCCACATTCAACTGAGAATCAAGGACAGAATTGAGCCCACCTAAGAATCATTCCTACCAAAGAGCTTCCCACCTTTCAGTGCAGTTATATGGAAGAAAACCTAGATAGGCTCCTGTATTGATCTAATTGGCAGAGTATCAGGTTGTCTAACCTTCTGCAAATGAAGCAAAAAGTTGCAAGTTTCTTTCAGGAGCTCTAATACACTTCAGCACACACCTCGAGATGTCCTTCAAGATGACAAATGAGTGTTAAACAAATTTAGTTTAGGCCACTTCACCCTGAAGTGGGTGGAAGGAGCAACATCCCAATGATATGATATCTTGTCAGCAGAAGCAGCTTTTTGTTGATTTTCCCACCTTAGGCCAACTATTCCCAGATTTAGGAAACTGGGAAACTCAGAAGATACCTCTCAATAGCTAGAAATCAGGGAGGCAGAGTATATATCAATAGCCCCTATCACAAGTTTGAGAGAAAAGAAAAAAACACATATTTACAACTTTATAGCTCCTTTTCTTCTGATGCTAACTTATTTACTTGAAAAAAGCTCATATAATATGAAAATATCTTTTTTTTTCCTTATCTATAAAATAAACTGCTTTAAAGTTCTACTAAACCCAGAAGTCCATTTAAGTCTGTTTGAAATAATATTATTCCAGCCAAGCAGAAACACACCCTAAAATGTTGTCATCGTTTGTTGATTCAGATGCTGGGTGTTTTCTGGAATCTTCAGACCGCAGGCTCTCAGGATCCTGGCTCGTAACAGTGTTATGGGCAGGAGGACTCAATACACTCTGGGACTCCTTGCAAGGGATGGAGGAAGACAAAGAAGAGAAACGTGAGAAGTTATTGCATTTATAATTTTTAATTCTAATAGGACCCCACACATAAGAATTCCAATGTCCTATTCGATTTCAACCATTCAAAGCTCTGAAAAATAACAACATTTAAAGAAGACATGACATTTTCAACAGCAAATTTTAAAAGATAACTTAAGGAAATTCAAAACATTCTTCATTCAAATACACATATAGACATATTTTTCCCTCTATTTATAGGAAAAAAAAACTATGCAGTGTGCAAACTACTAGCTGCACTGTAGCAACCAAATGAAAAATGGAAAAATCTAATCTAGCCACTAAAGTGTCTTCTCACCAGATAATTTTAGTGTCTCAAATTTGTATTAGTGCACAAATAAAAGCCTGCAGACCTAAGATTTAGTTCACTGCCTTAATCAACTTGGAAAACATTTACAGAGTGGGAATTCCCTTCCCTTTGGGCAGGTCAGCACAGTTGTATTCCTTTTTGCTAGAGCAATTCTGTAATAAATGAGTAGAAGCAGACTAGAACAAGACTACTTGGGCTCCAAACACTTTTGCAGAATTTTAAGGCAAGAATATAATACTGTTTTCCAAAATAATTGTTACAAATAGCTGATTATATGAGAGATTTGGGAATATTACTTACAGATTCCTCTTGAACAGCGAGTCCAATTGTTTCTGCCACAACTGCAGCCAAGTTAAAAGATGGTCTTGGACCTGGATAGCCTCCAGCCCTCTGTTTATCTTTGCGGGTAGAAAGAAGCTCACTTAATGAGCTATACATACATGCTAGTATTTTATTCCACTCATAGATAACATAAACTCTGAACTAAAAAGATCACAAATTAAAATCTGGTAATTATGGAAATGGATTGCCTTGTTCCATACATAGTCAATTCTGGAAGTAGCGAGGGGAAGAGAGAGACAAAGGAAGGGTTTCTGACAGCAATGAAGAGCTAGATCCGAGAGGGATCAACTTCCTATTCGCATATGTGTCCCTAAAATTAACATACAGAGATGAATCCAAGTAAAAGTTGCTTTGCAAACTCTCAAACCAGGACATCGTTTGTGTTTCCAAGAACACAATGTGGAATCATGGCAGTGCATATTTATAATGAGCTGACTGTGTTCTGTATTGCCTAGATAATACTTCAATTATTCTTCTCATGTCTTTATCAGAAGAGAGATGAGTCTCACTTCTTGGAGGGGTTTAACACCACTTAATAAACTGAGAAGAAATGATATGATGGGGCAGTATAAGAACTACAACCTGCACAGCCTTGGCTTGCATGACTTGAATGTCACTTGTAGTCCAAAATTTCACAGAAAAACCAGCAACATAGAAAATTCTTGAAATGTTACATAAGCATTCGAAGACTGGTTTTGGAAGAAAGACTCAAGACAGCCATATCAATTCACAATTTCAAAAGAGGAAATATTCAACAAAGGCACTTTTAAATGTTAAATACTGACTTCAGACAGTAAATGTAACCCTTAGAATATTTTTCATCTACTTTATAGTTAGAAAATTAGACATAAGACAACTGGATGAGTAACCCAAAATATAAGAAGTCAGTAGTAAAGCTGCACTGGGCTTCTTTTTATTACTTGATTTTTAAATAGTGATACTAATCCAGTATATTTTATAATTTTACTGGATATGCATTTCAGCAGAAGTTCTGCTATTGAAGATAATTTCCTTTTGTGATTCCTTAGTTCAGACAGACAGACAATAAGTCTCATCAGCTAATGACACCTCATTTTTTTATACCTTGTCCCTATTTTGAAAATTATTAAAACCCAAAGTGTCAATACACTTACTTGGCACAGGGGAGAGCTGTGGATCACAAGTGTCTGCCACTAGTATCTCCCCTCCGTGGTGACTGTTTGCTTGAGTGGAACATAGTGGATTTTTTCCAAACTCTACAAGATGATATATAGACATTTTCATGGGGTGAAATGAGATAGACTGTTATGATAATTACACTTAGATAAAGATCCTGATCTTAAAAGCACTTGAACGTAAATTTTAATATGTCAATAGGACCATTAATTTAAGCACAACTGACTGTTTTTATTTTGAGGCATCACTCTGACAAATTGTTCACAAGATTTTCATGTTAATCCTCTGTCTCGCAGGTATGATTCCAGGCAAGCAGCTTCTGCCACAAAATAATGCTGACACGTGATTATGTCACTTCCCATACTGTGTGTGCACAGTAAATATTCAGTCTACAGTCTTCCTCTTGATATGGCAGCAAGACTATTGATTAAAAAACAGTTTGTCTGGATTATTTTCTGCATCAATCTAAGGCTATATAAGGTTAGAATTAGATACCTATCATTCAATACCTATTAGATACCTGGTTGCAGGATAACGGCTATATAGACCAAAATATATATTTCCGTTTCCACTAGGTGGTGATAAAGATGTGCACATAAGGCAAACTTGAGTATATTTTTGTCTGGAGTAGTAGAAGAGATAGAGTTGGAAACTCTTACATTTGCATGTATACATGGATGATGAATAGAGGAGGGAATAATTAAGTAGGAGGTTAAAAATAGCTTTAAACTTATGGGGGGTATAACAGTTAACATTTATATTATAGCATAAATGGGGAAACAAAAGAAAAAATACACAATAAGCATTTTTTTAAGATTTCCTCCTTTCAAATACATTTACCTTTTTTTTTTAATTTTTTTTGCCTTTAGCCCTTCCTTAAAGAAATCTTTAAAAATATATTTTAAAAAAATACAATATTCTTACCACTGATGCTTTCAGCAAGTTCCAGATCTGGGTGAGTATGCTCTGTGTATCGGATATGCCTGTTCTCTTTTTTCCTTCTCATACGATTAACCATAGAAAATGAAGAAGTCAGGACTGGAGAATCTGGAATGACACCTTCTTCTAATTCGGCTGCTTGTTGCTTTTGCTCTCTGGAGATAAATTCAAGAGGTTAAATAAAACACCAAGTCAGCAAAATGAACAGCTTTGGTTGTAGCAAATGAGACGATGGTATGCTTTAAGAAAGTAACTATTAAGAAAATACAGTACTCTCAATTACATGACAATGTAAAAAAGTAGTAGTATAACCAAGTTTTCAGACACATCTGATAACAAATTCACAATTGCTCCATCAAGCCTGAGAATTCTATATGATTCTTGCTCTTCACAGCTAGAGTCAGCATCCAGCTACTGCATTATGGAAGACTTTCTCTTGGAAACTAGGACCTGGGAAGTCTCCATTTTCTTCTCTGAAGTGTGTGCTACTTTAATTAAAAAAATATTGGAGCTGATAAACTACTACGCCTCTTCCAGTATGGAAGACCCTGTGTACTTCCAAAATATTAACATACAATAAGCATATTAAATACAAATATTAAAATACAATTGGAAACTTTTAGCAAATTTTCAACGGTAATGAATAGAACTTTGTTAGAGACAATCCCTGAATGACATCAATTATGAACTTTATTTTCCTGTCTGTGTCAAATTTAACAGCATACCGAAGAGTGAGGATACAATCAATAAAACAAATGACTGTCTTTTGTTGTCAAAACCTGAATTTACAGATAGAGCAAGGATGTAAGAACAGGAGTATTTATTCCAGTTCTGGTAACTTCCAGGCCGCTTGTTTAGTACTGCTAAGACCACTGCTCCTGTCCTACAGTGGAGATAACGAGGAATGGGACAGGCCTCCTTCACTATCTTTCTTCAGCAGCATTTTGCCTTATAACTCTCAAGAGAAAGCACAGACTAAAAGCTAACTTCCTAACCATAAAGAGAAGGAGGTAAGGTTTTGGATCTAAGAGGAGGAGGAAATAAAGATATATTTCTGCTTGCATAAAAGGTAACCTATAGTATCCTACACAGAATAATCTAATAATCTGATAGAAAACCATGGCATATGGACCATGGATTAAGTTGAAAGAATTTCTGCAAAGTTAGACTTTTTAAATATTAAAAGTTACTCACAGTAACAAAAAGCAGCTACCTTGCTAAAGTTAGCTAGCCGTCAGAGTTCTAATTAAATTTATTAACATATGTGGCCTTGCATGAAAAATTAGCCTGCTACACTTTTCTGCATTTTTATTCTATGCTAACCAGATGGTACTTCCTAAATGTAACCCCAAAAAAACAAATTAAGAAGCTGCCATAGATGCTGTACATTATAAATATGCATTAAATTATTTCTAAGTTACTGAAACATTTATCTGAGATCCTATAACAGATTTTTGAAGAAACTTCCATGCTATTTCCATCTATGGATAATGAAATTCTAAACTGATAAAGGACTGGATAGTACAATTCTTCTAAAATTTTATTGCCTATTTATAAGGGACTATTAGATTTTGTTTTCCAAAAATAGTAAATCTTCATAACAAAAGAAATAAGCTTTTTGCAGTCTTTGTTGATGACATGCCCTGAAGAAAATCTGTTAATTCACTCCTACATTATAGTGTTGCACTAATCTGAATTCTTCATTCTAAATAAAATGATGCAACTACAGTTCAATCGAAACAATTAATGTAGTGATTATATTAAAAACAGCAGGGCTATACTTGTTAATCACTATTAATCCACACAATTCTCCACTCATTCGGAAAAACATTTAGCAGACTGAGCAAATAACTTAAGTGTTATTTTCATAATTGTCAACCTTCCTACAGTGGCCAGTATACCTTAAGACAGTAACTGGAAGTTAAATTGCAGGGTTGGGTCTCAAGGTAATAAAATTGGATTATTTTGTCTAAGATGAATTAGTTAATTCCTAACTGCAGTCAGGCTCCATAGGAAACTCATTGTAGAATGGCAATTATACAGTTGAAGGCATATACAATTTTATTACCAATTGGCATTAAAAAGGAGTACTCCTAGTGGTATGTAATATAACATCTCAACGAGATGAAATACATACAGGGAAAAGAAATGTTTATGCAACTGAGAAATACTAAGGAACAGAACTGCAGGAATCATGAACTCAGTTTGCTTGTTCTCAGGCCAAGCATACTTTTGAATGAAGACAAGAAAAAATTATATACAGAAGAATCAAGTCCGCCTCTCCATCTCCACCCCCATTACTCCCCTGCCACGTAATGCAACTGCTTCTAGTCAAATCCAAAACCAAAATGAAAATAAATTGCAGGTGATGTCAGACTACAGTTGTACAAGTACTGCTTCTGCCTTACATAGAGGAACATAATAATATATTTTAACCACAACATCATGTGGCATATTTTTGCTAGCATATCAGATTAAAATTTGATAGTCAATTTCTTGTCCTTTATTTTTACGGGTTTCTTGAAAAGTTGCCCATAAAATTATTGCAAGTTTCCTTCAAAAATGTGTGGAAAGATCTTGAGATGCTTAACTATCAGATAAACTAGTTTCTTGAAATCTCACCCTAGGAAGAAAGGATTGGCAAAGTGTAAGAATGTACGGCTTTACAATGCACAAAGACCATAATAATTTAAACAATCATCAAAACAGAATTTCTGCGACACATGCACACTAGCAAGTTGCCAGTTTTCAATTTTTAATTCAAAGTGGCAGCAGACTATCTTCCATATTAAGAACAAACTCAGCCTTTAAAGAATTAAAAGCTGGAATTTATATTCCCAGAAGTTGTTACTGAGGAGGAAAAAAAAAAAAAAAAGAGCAAGAACAAAAGCAAGAAAACTCAACTTACTCTAACTTCTTCTGCAGTTGCTGGAATTGTTCAGATATCTTTTTATTTTCATCTTGTAAATTGTTCTTTTCATTCACTAAAATTCACAAACAGTGTACAGATGTTAACAGCATGCTATATTTGATTTTGCTAAGTCCTTTAAGAAAACAAAAACAATTTTAAAACCACAGACACCCCCGCATCCAATGGTTTACCAAAATTTTCCAGATAGTCATTAAAAAGGTTATAAAATGATTGTTAAAGCAAAGGATTATGGATTATGATACTAATTCCACTCAATCGTTATCTACTTTTGTCCACGTGCAATGTGCATATTAGTGAGACTGGACTGTAGAGGCAAGTGAGTGCTCACACAGCTCCAGGGACACAACGGCTTCATCAGGTTGACAATTTATTTTTAGCCACAATCAACTGGTTGTAGAGAGAGAAAAAAATGTTCTTACAAAATCAGTAAGATGTTTAAAAGAAATTTAAAGAGAGGTTAGTCAGAAATCTTTTTTTTTCTTAATTTTGAATTCATTCTCTGTACAATTCATAAACTTGTTCTGTCACCGTCAACCTTTTTTTCCATAATGTCTCAAATCAGTGGAATGAAAACTCTCACCTTTCCTACTCATTTTCTTGTTCCAAGTTTTTTATTGCATGTTTTACCTCTGAATTATTCTTTATTGATCTCCTTGCTTGGTTGAGACAACACACTTAAAATCCAAATCCAATATCCATAGGTGTCTAACATTCTGTAAGATGGTGGTCAGTATAATTTGCACCGAAAACAGGTATCATCCTGATTTTTAAGGCCCAGAGCTTAATACAAAGGTTGTTTGTACTCTGTTTGTTGTTGTCATCATTAAACACTAGAATTTTTAATACTCTTGACATAACTATGCAAAGTAATATTCCTGACACATTGATATATCAATATAGAATTTAGTATTTCCGTGATTTAATCAAACATTGAAAAGCCAATTTGTGTCTTTCATTCCTCACAATTTAAATTTCACTGTATACTAAGTCTCAATAATACTTCAGCATACATAAAATCTAAATAACTAAATTTCAATGAATTCTTGAATGGTGAGGCAAGATGATTCAGTGCTACAAAATAGAGCATTAACATCTCTCTTCATTAAAAGATTTAATGCCTTCTGTCTTCTTATCATGTAACACCTTACAAAGAGGTTTACTAGAACAAGTAGTTTATTTTTCCCTCTCTCATAAACCCTAGCTCCTTATTTCAATATGTACTGGCTATAAACTGCCTGGTGTAATGGGTTTCTTTTGTGGCTTCACAAAAGCTCACAAAGCATTAGTTTGCAAAATTTTGTCTTCAGATGCATGGATAAAACTCACTAAGCTCAGTGATAAGCTTAAGATTCTGCTGCCGGATATTCTCAAACTCTTGCTGTTTCTTTCTCATATGTTCTTCAGTTACAGCACAGCGATCACATAATCCCGCTCTTAACCTGTAAGAGAAAGGACATGTGTTATGAAAATATTGCCATACATGAAGCAGATTATCATTAGTTAACTGGATATTTAAATCAGAAAAAAACTGTTTCTCAAAACAATGCCAAACACCACTAACACAGCAATACCTTGAGATTTTTGAATGACCTTGTATCTTATGTACAATAGGCAGCACAAATTACTACCAGTACCAGATGCTTTTCAAACAATATGTATATTTCAGGTGGAGTGTGCTACACTCTGCCACTGAAAGCCTTTGTAAGAGGTTTTAATAAAGATTCTATACACAGCCAATAAAAAACACCCACAAATTCACCTGTCTTCTAAAACTTTGATAGTATCATGAAGTGCTTTTTGCTGCTCTCTGAGCTGTTGATTCTTGGTGTAAAACTCTTCAAGTCTCTCCGCATCCCTAAAATCAAATAGAGAAAAGAGTTACTTCTAGCTTTAACTTATAGCTATTATCTTTTCAATACAGAATTATGGCTTTGGTGTTTTTCTTTCTTACTCTTGGGAAATGTAAACCATAATCAGCAGAAAAATACTAAGTTGAGGATAAATGAAAACAATGTTTTTGATGAATGGCAACAACGACTAAGTCAGAAAAGGAGTAGTTAGTTCCTTATTCCTATTACAGTTCAATTTTTCTTGATAAATATGACTTTTGCTCAAGATGAATATACAGCTGATGACAGTCAAGGTATAAAGGCTAGTGCTAATCAAGTAGCAACTCCAGGGAACACAAGCTCAAGCACTTTACTGTCTAGTTGGGCTGTTGAAGAACTAACTGGGAGCTTTCTCACTCAAGTTTCTGTCTTTATACTCTTTCCTAGCAATAACTGCATGTTGTACCATGGCAAGTCACAGGAGGTTTGTAAAGCCCTAATTAATCTTTAGATCCACTAGAGCTCTAGTTTTCCAGGCAGAAATTTCTCCGAGTCTATAGAAGATGAATTCTTAGAATACAAATACTGGCAAGCAAACTCTCTTCACAAATTTCTCAGAAACAGGACAAAAGTCTGGAGGAAATTTCTTGTCAGAACTCTATAATTAATAAAGAACATCTCTTCCTCAAAAGAGCTAAGGAAAAGCACCAGGAACATCAACTTCACAGCTTTAGCTTCATTTTAATCATCAGATCACAACATGCACTCAAAACACAAACCAAATGTAAGCAACAAGCACATATGCATTTTTCTCTACAAAAAAGGCAATTCTCATTAAAAAGTAAGCAGCGGAATCCACGTAACATGAAAATAATTAATTTCTGAGAAAATGTTCTTGGTTTTCTTTTTACCATGGTACCCTTTGTATAGTCCCTGAATGCTGGTGTTTGTTTTCAGTACGCTTTAGATGGCATGTTTAAGGAAACCATGAAATTGCCTGACAAAAAGCTGCTGCGCACACAAACAAATTAAACCATGTCTACAACTTGGTACAATTCTTTTACAGGGATACAATTTCAAATAAGCACTATCCTTTTAAGATATGCTATCCAAACACATTTACATTCTGTGGATATTAAGAGTAATACAGGAAATTCAGAACCATTCATTCATTACGTGAATGAGATAGCAAGCAGTTTCTGCTGTGTACCATGCAGATATATTTAATTAATTCTGAAAAATTAGATTTGAAATGTTATTTTTCTAAACTACGCTCCAGACCTATATTGTGCCTTTCAGCTGCATACACAACATAAAGATCATGAGGAACCATTTAGCAAACCATTTAAAGTTGATTAACCAAACATAGGCAGGCAATGGAAAGTCAGAAGAGTCATAGAAGTGATCTACATTTTTCTGATGAAAATCTCATGTTCCATGCTTCAAACCTCATGCTTCATAAACTACAGTATATGAAGCTTAAAGTAAGGTCCAATATATCCAATCTTAAAAACTTCTCTCAAGCTATCTTTATATCATTATTCTATGGTATTACTTTTTTTTTATTAAAAAAAAAGGCACAACATATACTGCATCCCATCTAAATCCATAAAAATGCTGCCATTAAGATATTAAAGTGACAGAAGGAACAAACTGTAGTTTTTCAAGGATTCCAAAGCAGCTGATGGACGTTTTTGGCTATGAAGACAATTTCATAATGAATGGTCACTAACCTAGCATTTACAAGCCATTAGCTCCAATGCTGGAGTGGGCTAAAGCATAAGGAGCTCTTTGTCAGCTGATTATCGAGTCTGAAATATTAAACCTCAGGTATTCAGAAGCTTCAAGGAGCACAGGATCTCCAATAGAAGAGGACTGCATCTACAATGTAGTGATTGTAGAAAGACCCAACAAACAACAATTAAACCATCTGGTATGTGTCCAGTCACATAACTCCTGATACACGAGGCTAAGTTAATAACAGTTAGTTCAGTTCACCCTTTAGAAACAGCCAAACGATCACATTTTGGGGGAAACTGCACATAACAAATAATAAGGTGTCAATCTGACTTTCCCCCGAAGTTGAGCAAGTGCATCCTGTGATGATAAAACACAGCACTGAATATTTGCCAACTGAAAGCCTTCTAATAAGGCACACCCATGGCTCAGTAAAGAATTAGATTGCTTGTGGTACTGCATTATCAATGCTAATGTTTAGTAAGCCTATCTTAAAAGAGCAATAGATAATGTTAATTAAACAGGATTTTAATGAAATATCTGCCAAGATTCCACGAAACACACTCTTCTCAAAAGCTTTATAAAATCCATTTGAATCAATATGCTGACAGACTAAACAGGCAGTGGGATTCTACTACCACATCTCTTCTTGTCATGTTGTCACCTATTATGCAAACCTAAATGGAGGAGGAAGAGGCTCAACCACCACAAAGGATGCATAAAATATGAAAAGATGTCTAGGAAACACAGCAACATAGGCACAACAATTGAAAACAATTCCTATGAAAGTTAGATGAAAAGAAATAAGAATTTTTCTAGAAAGGAGACAGCTGTAATTACTGAACAGTAGTGCTAAAAAATAAACAGCAAGTATGTACTGTAGTACAGTAAAGCACACAAGAAAGCCAATGTATTTTTAAGATGCATTTAGCTATTTTATGCTACAGGAAAAGAAAACATTAATTCCACTAAAGGGACTTCACTCCTATGGAAAGACACTTCTGTTTCCCTTCCAGCCATAAACAGAAGCATACTAGGGAGTTCATAAAAGAACTAGATTTTTTGAGTTACTGTAGTTTGAGTTACCACGAAACTACAAACAGGATAATTATTTATGCAAAAACAAACAAACAAAAGCATATTAGGAATGAATGAGGCAGAAAAATGGCTAGCCTACAATCAGAACACAAAAAAGCATGCTTGAAAGCATTGTGGTGGCACCATAAAACTAAGACTGTGTATCTTTGGCTTCAGATGGCAATGCTGGGTATGTAAGTATGCTTTTTTTTATTATTGTCAAGTTCTTTTTTTTTAAAAAAAAGTATTATTTCATACGATTATGTTGTTTTCAAAATAAAAAATAACAAAGTAATCTATTCTCACTTCTCTTACAGTACACGAAAGTGAAACTCATAATGCAGGCCATATGTAATTGAAAAAAAAGAAAACAAAACAAAACTGTGAAACTTGCTACTTTCATTTCCTTAAACCCAAAGTCAGAATTTTAAGTGTCACCTTGCCATTTATCATTTAGTTTAAAAGTGACTTTGGTCACCAGGAAGTCAACAAAAACTGATCTAATGGTGTACATGTAGACTGTTATTCTACATTCCTGTAAAACAGAGGGTTTTTTTCCCAACTTGCTTCTAAAGAACAGACTCAAGATTACTAATAAAAAAAAAAAAAGATATTATATAACATTCTGCAGTTAAGTATAAGAACTGATGAAGATTTAGTATGGTTATAACTAGAAACTTTGCTGGCTAGCTAAAAGTTGAGTTAAAGGTTCAGAAGTTGGTATTAAAAAACAAACATCTGTCAAGAGAATTTTTAAAATATTGTCTTATAACTTGCAAATTTATTTTTGTAAATTTGAGCTCAATTTTAAAATGTCTCCCTGATAATTTTTTGTATTAGAAATGTCCAAGATCCTTGGCAGGCATCCTAAAAACATCACAGACAGAAAATCTTACCAGTTATTTGTTCAAGAAAGGCAAGCCTAATGTTCAGGTTAAACACCCTATAGAAAGCTACATACATCTTTAGACAACTTCAGCTGAATTATTGAGGTAAACAGTTTTATACATGTGTGAAGGAAATATCAGTAAAATCTCAATTGATTTTACATATATTGCTTGCTAATTGCATTCAGAATCTCCTTTAACAGATTAGATCTACAGGATGTGTACTTACAAGCATCTTTCCTTTTTCAGTTTGGATATTTTCAGTTGTAAGCCTGAAGAGGAGGAGAAAATATGTATTAAAAATTTTCATTTAACAAAATTAGTGGAAGGATAAGCAACCTTTACTTTTGCACTGATATCTGCCTGAAAGAAAGAAAAAGGTCAATCATCTGGAGGGAGAGGGAGAATGGTTCATTCTGGACTTCCTGGATGTGTTCTACTGGATCTTGGAAGCAAAAACAGCTATTAAGATTCCTAGGAAATGGGGACTCTGTAATAAATTAAACTATAAAATCAAAATAAAATAAAGTAAAATAAAGTAAAATAAAATAAAATAAAATAAAATAAAATAAAATAAAATAAATTAATTAATATTTCCAGTTAAAATACTTTCTAGAGGGGGGAGAGGAAGAGGACACACTTATTACTGAGAGTACCAAGCACAATTTTTATTGTGTATACACATAATACCTTCTGCTATCTGTGTATACACATAAAAGCATTATTTACTTGCAATCTGGCTTCCAACCACTGAATTGAAAAGGAATGTCTATGTATAAAGGAAGCTTATCAAGAAGAATAATTTAAAGCTTTACACTATGCAACCACCACATACTCTACCTGAAGTATGCTCAGGTAGAGTCAGCCAAAGCTTCTTTGAACTCTTTTGGGGTGGACAGGACAGCAGTACCTAGCTGGCCCTTCTGCCACTAAGGCCTAACCACTCCAAAAGCTACAAAACACCTGTCTGCTGTAGAAGTTAAAAAAAAATTGCAAATACCAACAATGCTCTCAGACAGGAAGCACCACTGGACAGACAACAGACTAACCAATCTGCTTGCCTTTTTTTTTTTTGGGGGGGCGTGTGTGTGCATGTGCAGGTACTTTAGGTATGGCAGGGTTTATTAGGCGGGCCACAAACTATAGAAATTTATGTGTTGATAACCATACACAATCACTCCTATTCTAAGTAAATGGTTAGAAACAATCAGGCTCTAACTGTGTAAAACCTGACACCCATCCACTGGTATTTTTATTAGATATTAAACAATGTAATTTATTTTAAAATAAACTTTTTTTAAATAAAATTTACTTCAAACTGTGCAAAGTTATGAACAACGTCAGTGTGAATGCAAGGTGGCCTGCAAAAGGATTAGTCTCTTAGAAAAAAGAACAAATCTAATCTTATGAAACCAGAGTGTTTTTCAGAGAGAAAACAACAAACAAATAAAAACCCTCTGACAATTTAAATTCAATTTAAATCAAAACACCTGCCCAGTATTATGCCTTATTACAGAAAATGCAAGGTAAGAGAGTAAACACATTTCTTTCCCTTGTCCCCCTCCAAATGGGAACACCCCAACAGGGGAAAATACTTGCTGGGGAAGAGTTCAATTTCCAGGCCACCTAAAAGCAATAGTCAGGCCAGCCAAAGACTCAGTGAACCCATGCCACAGAGTGCTGTAAGATGCCAGTGAGACAGACAGATAAAAAATGTACAGAGACTACTTCAAAAATTGCTCTTGGGAAATACAGCAAGATTCCTTTTATCTCTTAGTGTTCAACACCTGTGAGATGTTATGTTCTGTCATGCAGATCAGCATAGAAAGAGGGTTTATTTTTCTTGAGGAGTTGCTATTCATCAAGGCAATTAGGCATGTGCAATTAAAACTCCTATAAAGCAGGCTTTAATGCTGCTCCACGCCCGTCGGAAGGAATGAGGCTGCACAACAATGCCCTCCTGTATGAACAGGCAGTCTGTTCAGCAAGGCTTTTACACCGGGACAGGGGCAACCCGAGCCACAAACTGAGGAGGCAGCAGCACTGCACTGCAGGTATCACTATCTCTCCTCTCACCTGTTGTTCCTCTCTCAGTTCAAAGGACTGTAACGAGAAGGCAGGAATCCAGTTTGTTACATGGATCCAAGAGCACTGAATTACTGTATTAGCTGTAATCTTTTGCTTTTCCAGAGAATTCGGAGGTTTCAACTGCTCTGATTAAGACAGCTTTATTTTTTCTTGCTATTTTTAATAACTGTGTAAGCATTTCCTACTGAGCAGTTCTCTGAAATAGATGGCTGCAGACTATATAAATCTCAGTTATCTAAAATTCATAACAGCTTTTGTAAATTGTCCACATTAAAGTGATGGAGACTGTCTTTAAAACATCATTAGGCAGATTCATATAAATATACAACATCTGTGAAACTTACAACTTCACCGAATGTAATACTTTGACTAATGGACATGACCATTTCTGTTCTGATAAATTTTCAGATGCAGTAGGTTTTTGTTTTTAAAACTGACAGTGCCTGGGAAGGCACTTCGTGACTGAAGGTTTCTAGGAATGGGTTGGACAAGCTTCTGTCAGGACTGACACAGATACAACCCTACTTTAAGGGTACAGAGATGGACCAGATGACCTCCTGAGATCCCCTCCAGCCCTGATTTCTATGGTAATTTACTTTTCAATAGTTTCTGGCCATTTCATTATCTACAACAATCTATCAACAAGTTCACTTTCCTCAAATTTTTCTCTTCTACAGCTACAAACTTTTCTCCTCAGTGGAATCTCCTGCTTTTCAGAGGTAAAGAAGGAGGAGAAAGTAAAATCGCACTTTCTTGCTCTATTACATAAAACTTTCTTACCATGTTTTTACATTGAAATACTACAATAATTACTTTTAATATAGAGCTTCAGATGTGAATATATCCTCAGGAATAATGTTAAAAGATACATATGCACAGCTGATCCAGAGAGTTATTTCAAGCTCGGTGCACCTATTAACACCTGCAGAAACTAGACATTTTGAAATATTATTGGATTTCTTTCTAATTTCTGTGACTCAGAGAGCATGTCAAACATTCCATAGATAGGGAACAAAAGCAGAAATTGTTTTAATGTTTTAACTGTTTTAATGAAACTGAGTTTCTGAACGCTTCTGAATTCCATAAAACTTAATTGATTTCATCCATGATCAATATCTTTGGAAACAGTTGTAGGAGTGATACCCATGGTAAAGTTGCAAAAAGGTGCTAGTTCAGGTAATGTGGTAGAAAAAACATTGCCCTTTAAAATATAGTAATATGAGAATTAAATAAAATCCTTTTCAAACTTAAAATGTTTGAAATCTTCTAAAAATATTCTACACATAATCTAATTTGTACAGTATGTCTGACCATTTCACTCTCATGTATATATGCTTTTCATAAATTTGTAATAAGAATTCCACATTTGTCCCCCGCATTCAGTTCATTGTCTACCTTATAGAAAAAGTCTTTTCTCCAATCACTAGCTTCCCCTTAATACTACCATCTTTAAAATACATTTTTGCTGACATTTAGATTGGAAACTCATGAGTCAATTTTAATTCTTATTTATAGACTTCAGAAACAAGCAAAGTCCAGGCAAGTCTGTGTTTGATGTTTCTAAAATATCTTCCAGTACCATTTTCTACAAGAGGATCCCCACCTTTTGAAAAAATTAACTATCCTTCAGGCATGTCTTTGATGTTATCATGGAAGACCTAATTTTACCTAACACAGTGCGGGACATACTGACAAAGGGCTAGGCATGAAGAAGTCTGCCTGGTGGCAAAATTACCTGGCCCCACCCTACGCGCATGCTGAAGAATATCTTCATATGCATAAAGAAAACCAAAACGTTACAATCACGTGCTGCATATCCCCCCAAAAACTAGAGAAGGGGTCACTTAACATCACTCTGTGTATTAGAGCTTTTTGTTTTTCAAGTTTTTGCTGTTCAGACATGCCACAGATTGCCAGATCCCATTCTGTCTGCACTTCCGCATTTATCTGCACTTGACATCACACCCACTCTGGAATGAACCATAAAGAATGAAAAAGAAAAAAAAGTCATAAAAATAGGCAGTTTTGTCTTTCTTTAAGAACACAATATAAAATTATAGTTCATATGACACAAACTATTTTTTAAGACAGTGCTATTATCTGCTACATCTTTCCTTTTAACTGCCAAAATGATGAAAGTTTTTCAACACTTGCACAAAATGTCAAGGCCCAGGGCTGCAGTGTTGAGTCAAACCTTCTATGCCTTCCTGTGGGAGGTATGAAATACCCACACATTGTAAAATTTCGAAACTGGGCTGGGGGGTCAGGACAACAGTTCATAAATGAGGCTATAACTAGACCTAAATGGGCAGACCTGGACCTGTCTTGAGGCTCTTGAAAATGACCAAGGCCACGGCAACAGCTTGACTATGAGATGAGTTTGCATGACTAAAGCCATTAATTCACAAGAGTTCACTGACTTTTATTCCAGCATAACATAAACACTACTCCATGCATAAGGAATATTAAGAATATAAATACATGATGCAATAACTCATCTTAATTTGTATATTACTAATCTTCTACGTTAGTGTAAAATGGAAAAACATTAACAGTCTAATGATAGTAAGAGTGATATCACACAGTGTAAAATAATAAGCATCCCTTGTAAAAATGTTCTGGAAAAAATGTAGAACACTGGGAAAAAATAATCATTTTTTATCTTTGGTAATCATAATCTGCACTGTAATTAGGCACAAGCTAGGGGTAAAAATGCAGATGTTTGTCAAAGTCACAACTTAAATATATCTGAAGTGATGAAACCCAGAAGAAATAAAAAAAAAAGAGGTTGGAAAGCTTCATTTTGAAACTTTGAGCCATAACCTTTTAATAACAATGTAACGTTTAAGCATTTGTGAAGCAAAAATAAGTGGCAACTAACATTGTGTTATTTCGCTTCACTGACCTAGCAAATCATTTATACTTTTTTTCATAGTTTAAATCCAATCCTGCTAGGCCAATCTTAGCTTGTAAATCTCTAACAGACCTTGTGCAACCATCTCAATCAGCATAAAACCCTAAAACATATTCAGTGAATACAGATGGAGTGGTACGCTGGTTCAAAGTTTCTCTACAACAACAAACAATCTCTTGTAAACCCAGACCTGACCGATTTACCTTGCACTTCTTTATCGTGACATTCTTTCAGTTTGGACCACAGTTCCTTGAAGAAATCTCCAGCAGGTTCTGCAGAACTAGGGCTCCCACAGCCTCCTCCAGACGCATTCATCTTGCTCCCTCTGCTCCCGACTTCTTCCACTTTGCTACCAAACAGGCTCGCTCTCTCACTTTATGTTCTAAATTACATAGCTACGAAGCTGTTTCAGAAGACAGGTGTATGCCTGTAACGACAGATCGACAACATTTACGTTCGCATTTATCAGAGAATAACTTGCAGCCATGGATGAAACACAAAGCTTACTATCTATCCTTGTCAGGCTGTGCTTAGCTACTGACAGTCACCCTGGAAGTGTGGGAGCTGCTAAGTACTTTGTCACAAGCAATTATAAACCAACGGAATTTTTTTTCCACCTTGCACAGACACCAACTTAAAGCTAGACCACAATTTTTTGGAATCTTCGTTTTTTGGGCTGTGAGAAGCTATTGCTCAGCAGAATCCCAGCTTGCCAAAGCATCCCAGGCTTCCAAAACTTTGCTAATAATAAATACTATTTCATAAAGCTTTTAACATGCATTCATGTACATGCAGTCTTTACATAAACATGGTTTTGAGTTACCCTCTTCTGCAAAGGAAAGTCCAAATCTCCCTTGAAAATTTTCTTGATTCTACATTGAAATTGTTCACATTCCCCGATAAAAAAGAAATAGATTAATCTCAAAATGTATAAATCCCCCCAAATATTAGTATTTTAGGACAGTATCTTAATAACCAGACAACACGCTCTGATAGAGCGATCCCACCCACAATATTTCTGTCTTTTGAAGGATTCCTTAGCACAGAGGGTAAACTACAGGGGAAGCATGGCACTCAGATGTGGGGATAAGGCAAAGGTAAGATTCAGTTCTAATCGCTGCAATGGGTGTCTGGTATTAAAATTCTCATGTAATCCTTCTATCCTTAAGTCCTCTGTACATGTAACTTACATACACATACATTATTTTTCCCATTCTTTAAGCAATCAATTTTAAACAAACATTTTTGAACAGGGACGGGGTATAATTACCAGATGCACACTGCAACATAGATTATTTTGTAATATAAATTGTAATAGGAAAAAAGGTACATTGTTTTAGCCCCGACGTAACATCCTTACCACACACACCACAGACTCTTCCTATACACAGAAATAAAAGTAGCATCTGGCTCTCAAATTCTTGAGATAAAAGTTATAGTTGCACTTCAGACCAAAAAAAGGCCTAAAATTAGTCAAGAAGTCGCATTTTCTACTTTAAAAGTCTTCAGGCAACTTAAAGCACCCACATTGCAGCTACAGGTTTAGCTGATCTCCTGGACTCACCATGATAAAACGCTTAGTCCAGTGGCTAGTGACCTACTCTAGGACCTAGAGGCCTTGGCTCACGTCTCTTCTCTCATATCTTTGTGTACAGTCTTAGGTAAGCCAACTTTCTCTCGGTTTGCCTGTCTTTAAAATAACAGAACAGATGGAAAAAACAGTTATTCTTGACAATACAGGGATATCAGACGCAGGGTTTTTTTTTTTTTCTCCAATACCACAGTAATGCCAAATACCACAGTAATGGGAGCAATGCCCCATTAGCCCTGGGTAAGGCCAAGGTAGCTCCCAATTTACTTTAACGCGCTCTCTCGAGAAAATTCAGGGCCTACTTTGTTTCATGTTAGCTAGTGCTCTTATTCTGAGAGAAATCTTTAACAGAAAATAAAATTACCTTTTCAAATGGGCAATGCCTACAAGCCACCAACCGAAGCTGAACGATAATCTCCTTGCATCTTTGCAGCTGAAACGCTTCACTCTGGGCAGTCACAATAAGCCATCTCTGAGCACATCTTTGGGGAACACATTGCCTAGTGACATCAGTAATGTCATTTAAACACTTGCTCTTCTACCTTCACTGACGAATACCTAAGAAACCATCTTTTTCTCTGTTGAGTGTTTAGACAGTGAAATCAGCAAACTTGCTCTTCCTTATCCTTGATTTGAGTCTTTTGGATAAGACATTTTCAAGGAAAGGGGACCTGACCAGATGTTAGAGAAGGGGGGGAATCAAACCCTGCAGCATTTGCTTAGTTACTGCAAGCAATTACTATGTCAACAGAATATAAGCAAGAGCAATGGGTTTGTCTCTAACTTTGGGTCCTTCAACATCCAACAAACGGTACGTGGGTCTCTACAGGTGCTCAACAAGCCTTCAGGAAGGCTGCCCCGAATAGGCACTCACAGAGACCTTCCGGCAGCCCTCAGCACCTGCAGATGCACAAGGGCGATGGTCTCTTGCCAACCTTGGCTTATTTCGCAGTGCTGATCAAGGGCTTCCCAGGCTCCAGAGCTCCCCGGCGCCGCACAAGCGCCTGAGCACGTTTCACCAACGCTCCCTCCAGGACACGGGCTCTGGCCCCGCCGCCGCGGCTGGCACCCTCGTC